GAGATATTATATTGTGGCACACTTGCTACTTACCCCTGTTGTGTATTTCTGCTGCGGTCAGGTGTTGGCAAGGTGCCTGGCAAATTTTCCACCGGCACTCCATTGATGACTTAAATAGCATACCTATGCAGCTATGCAATTGTAATCAGAATCCAGGAAAAGGGATCCTCTTCCTGCCTAAGAAACAAAATCAAAACAAAGACTCAGTGAAATAAAGAATTCATGTTTTACAATTCCGTCTATGCCTATGTTTTCGGTCACAAAGTTCCTGGGAAAGCTTCCAGTGCCCTAGGCCCTAACCCATTGAAAATGCCTTCCAGTTCCGATCGGCCAATCCCTATCGTTCCGATACATAGGACCTAGGAGATACATGAGGCGTCCGAGTAGGCAACCTAGAGCAAGTTCAGCAAACTGAGCCTAATATATAGCGATGGCCTCCACCTAATAGCGATGCCCTCCAACCTGGACCTAGATCAAACTGAGCCTGTAGATCAGGATCAAGCAACCACTTTTGCAGCATGAACTTGGCCTGAAACAATCTGATCTGAAACAACGAACTCAGCCGGTTGTGCTCCAGCAATAACACTTCAAAGACTGTACATCCGCCTACATATATGTTTGCCAAACATTCAACTGCGACTGATTTTGTGGATGATGATGAGGGTGAGTATTCTTTGGGCGTGAGTGGCACGCGGTGAGAACCATATTGTAGAATGTGAGTATTTTCAAATTGCTGCCAGTGCTCACAGTATCGCTGTACACTGTGAGGTCTGCCACACACAGCTTGTGCCAGGCTGCTGTGACCTCTGGATCCGATGCCCATGGTCGTGAACTCTGATGGCTCTCTGTCACCTGGGCTCTACAAACAACGGAACAAATACTCCAAATTGGCGAACATTGAAGGCCACACAAACTTTGCTGCTCTATATAACTTGCGCTCTCCCTCGAAATTGACTGTAGCAGTTTGCCACGGCGAAAGAATCAAGGCCTCAAGTTGCTGGAAACTTGGTCTGCAAAGCCAGGCCATGGATACCACGGATACCTTGAACTTGACAAGGCCAAGTTGCTCCTTCCCAAGTCTCAGCAAAGCCGTACCTCTGCAAATTGGGTCGTGATGCGGTATAGTGCATGCTTCGAGCAGCCTTGACATACCTTGACCGACCCATCAATGCTGAACCATGTCAATTTCCTAGCAACGGTTTGCATAAAGGCCTAATGTCGACAGGTGTTTCCATTAAGACCACAGTATACCACAGTCAATTAAACATGTATGCACATTGTATATATGTGTGTTTGTGTCGGCATACCCAAGCAACCCTGTCCTGCTGACCAAAGGACACCTCAGAGAAACGACACTTGGGTTAGGTCACTTCGACAGCCTGAGCACCGAAGAACACATTTGTGAATTAAGTAGGTGTAGTATAGTAGTAAAGTAGGTCAAAACACAAGTGATGGAGGCTACAGTAAGAAACTCAACTCCTTCTGTGCATTTGGGCAAAAAAGCAATCAAAGTGTGTGGCGATGTGAAATCTCACTTCGGCTGGAGTGCCCACACCCCTCTGCAACTCTAGCTATGGAAAATCCGAGAGCCCAAAATAAAAAGAATCATGTTTGTGTTCCTATGCAAACACGCCAGTGCTAGTCTGCCGAGAAGCATGTACTTCAGCAGCAGCTCTCGTCTAGCAGCCTACCACAAAAAATTATCTGCTTTGCTTGGGGTCATCTAAACAGGAACTACACATTCACTGCAGCAGGGCACCATACGTTGTCAAGGACAGCTACCCAGCATAAGCCTATAACCAGCCTATATATCATTATATCATGTTCTTGTAAACAGGTTTGCCTGGTATACAAAGCGCGCGTGCAAGAGTCTTACTTGAACCTCGACACACTGCACAAAACCACTTAAAGGAACTAAGACGAACCTTGTGGCTTTGCTGTTCGCTCTTCGCCGTTAGCTTGACCCGTTTTGTCCGCTGCCTGTTTCGTTGATAAGCTCACAGGTGCGCTCCACACATCAAGGAGTTCGGATTGAAAGCAATCCTCAGTGCATGGCCCGATTTGGGGAGACAGTTGAACGATCTAGACTCTACGGTTTCCAAACAATACGTTTCCAAACGTTGTTGAAAGCCGAATATGTTGCATCCTTCGCATCGTTCAATCAGTTTAATGTCTGGACCATTTCTGGATTTGGGCATTAATGCATGGATCAATTATCCAGTATGTAATCCAAAAGAAACAAAGTAGGTCGTCGCAGCATGGAGGAAGAGTTGAAACTAAAGCATTATATATAAACGGTTTTTGTATGTTTTTGTTGTGAGATGTTGTGAGTGCCTTGGAGTGTTCTGAAACCTACCTGCAAAAAACTAAAGGGCAAACTACATCACATGGAACAGTGCGCTACAGGCTGCATCACTTGCTATTTATGCACTTATGCCCTGTTATTTATCACATTCCATATGCCTCCAAAGTCCGGAGAAAGGATGACATGACATTGTGTATTCTTGAATGTCATGAAATTCTGAAGCGGTGTCAAGTGTTCTCTCATTTGGAACTCGATTTTATCTCTACCGGACTCCACCGTCTTTTTTCTAGTCCTTCAATAGCCCAATTTGTCCCCAAGTCTGACAAGATGCGCTGGAGTACTCAATGAGTGACTGGCAGGTAGGGGAGTTTAGTGGTTGGTGGGTGGCAAAAAAAAAAGAACGGCCCAGGCAACACCTTTGACTTTGACACAACTGACTCAACTGACAAACAGAACATGCTTTGCCCGCTCTGATTGTCATGCAACTCAAAAAAGCACCGCACATAACTTGCGAAACAAAGGGTGAGAAACCCCGGACCCCCTTGGCCATATTTTGTCCGGGAGCACAAATTTGGACCGACGTATTCCGACACCCTGGCTAATGCAACAACTCTGATTTTTGTCGGGAAACTACAACCCACCAGCACTGCATGCATATGTCATATGTGAGAAAATGCCTAACTCCATTCTTGCTGAGTCAGTGATTTAAGGGATTGGAGTTTTCGGAGCTACTGCCTCACGAAAGGACGGACGACTTCTGATTGAACATCTCCGGAACCTCGTCCATAAGCTTGAGCAGCAAGTCCTTTGTCATTCGCTCTTTCGCCATCACCGCCCACAAATTGCAAAAGACGCGAAGAACAAGGGGCATCATTCGCAAGAACTTCGTATGTTCGCCTCAATTGATCTTTTTTGACAAAAGAATATCAACCATGCATATCCATCCATGCGTGTAAAATCATCAATGAATTCTGAGCTTCCTAAATCTTGAGCACTTTGGCACTGAGTACAGGCAGCCTTGCACTCAAGGAAATCAAGGTTTTTGGATGCGGTGCCATCACACGAAGGATTGTTGCACGCAGGAACAATTGGACAATCTTTTCACTGCTACCTCTCGAAGAAAATGCTCTGCTGGAGCACGGTGGGCGACAGTCTGTTTTCGAACACTGCAGCTCATGCTGGGCTGCGCGATCTTTCTCAAATACTGAGAGTCTGAGGGTCATCTAGCTTCCGTTCGAAAAGCCCTGCAATGGAAAGAAAAAAGGTGCAATGCACCTGATAGGAGTGTGTTCGCCAAGCGGCAATTTGTTGCTTCACAGGGAAACCAAAGCGGAACATTGCGGGCCCGGGGGCAACCCGAAGCATAGCAAAGCGTAATGCTTCCAAACTCAAATCATAGCAATGGATGTCACTACTGCAAAATTATTGGCATGTGAATTGAATATATTCTTCAAATTGCTAGCACTACATCAATCACGCTCAAGTGCTAAAAAAGTGCCAAAGGGACATCAAGGGACCAAGTAGGAAACCTTAAGGCCTTAAGGAACCCGATAGCGATTGCAAACCTACTTGAGATGGCCTCCAAACACTGTTTGACAGAATAGTGATCCATATCACTCTCTGGCGAACACACGAAGTCTCTCCACACTATATCAAAAGGGCTTTCGAGCTCCAGAGGGCGGTCGTCTATGAATTCATAGCATTGAAATGCCGTATTATTCGCATCATTTCTTGTGCAAGGTCAAGTCATTAAAAACCTTCCCAAAACATCTCAGGATCTCAAATTGCGCCCGCTTTCTCCGTTATTTGTTTCTCCGCTCCAATGACAAACTAGCATATCCCTTCTGAACTATGTGCAAAGGAAGTGTGCATGCCGCATATGTCATCAACAGTCAAGCTGCCAACATCAAACGGTGCTGTATCAAGCATATTGCCTTCACATTCCTAATTAACATTCATGTTGGATAGTCAAGTATGGTAGAGCATTCTAGGACAGTATAAGGTCATATAGAACCGAAAGCTCCTCAAAAGTGTTTCCCTCGTAGCAACACATGCACAAGCAAAAGCAATTTCAGTTCTCATTCAATCGTGGCCTGCAAATCGACAATGGAAACTAGGGGCAGTGGGCTCCAAGTACTGACTTGGTTGATCCTTCGAGGTCAGGGCTCCAGCAAATTCAGGAGCTTAGTTGTATTCCGTAATGTTTGAGAGCCTATGAGCCACACAAATTTGGATCCTGGAAGCGCTGCTAAGGCAAAAGCCACCAACAAGAGCCCTAAGACTTCATGAAGGCCATGAAGGCAGTTGAATGGCTTGCTGGCACTGCGGGTCTGCTTCGCTTCGGGCATTTGATGAGGAGACAACTGCTCCAGCCACTGACTTCATCGTCAACTCCTCAGAATTTCCAGCCAATGCTCGCCGCGGATTCCGGGATTGATTTAGAAACTGCAACCTTTGCAGAGTAAATCTTCCCAGTCCCTCGTCCTTATAACGATTGCTAGACTATAGAGTAATCACACTGATCTGTTTACAGGAGCAAGTGAAGCTTGTAGCACCAACATAATTGATTCAGAAGCGACACAAGCCAACAGCACAAGCAGTACACAAAAATGACAACATGAACAGTAACACGACCAACACCCAAACCGCCGTCGACAAAGAGCTGGCCACTGACTCCAAGTCCGAGTTCCCAACGCTAGGCAGGCAGAGATTGGGGCAGCTGTTGGAGGATGCTCTTGGCCAACACCACGCGGGACCTCTTTCAGTGTCCAATCGTCCGCTTCACATATCAAACATCAAAAGATCTAAGTATATAAATTCAACTTGCCCACCAAGATCACAAAGCTTTGAGTCACCTGCTCAAACAAATTATGTTTGAGGAATGCTGCATAACTCTATGAATTGAATGTATACAAATAAATGTAAAAGGTCAACCAATCAAACTAATCGACTGCCGTGCGGATTACTGCACGAACAAACTGGTCAGAAATTCAGACCCACTCTGTTTCCACTCAGAAAGCAAAAGACCAAGGTGTGTCGTTTGGAACATTTATGAACATTTGAAAACATGTGATATGTCAACGGCGCAAGGCCAGTGCTTGCGGCTGTGGAAACTCTCTGCAAACAAATCCTCACGAGCCTGCCAGGATCCATTGGTCCCTGGCTAGCCCAAGCTGTCTTCTTAACATCCGAGCCTGTGCAGTTGCAATCTCTGCAGATCCCCAGACAGCCTGGCCAGCGGTAGCATTCCAAGGAGATTTGGCACATCTCATTGTCGGTCACAGTCAAGAACGAAAAGGTCACTCATCCTGGCCAAGGTCTGTCCTACTATCTATAGCTTGTTGTGTTCCAGAATGGCACCCCAGCACCAACTTGGCCGTCTGACAAACTATCGAAGATACGTTATGATGTATTGCTGAGGCTCGCAAATCTTGGAGTCTTCACACACCCTTCTGTTCTCACTGCCTTGCATGCTCCTCCTGCAAGGGAATCATTGGTGATTGGAAACCGATGGCATCTTGGGTTGAAACACACTCAATGGCTGCTACAAGTGGTGGCAATGTTGGCTGTCCTCCAACTTTGCTTTCAAGAGCAACGTGCTGCGGCCATTTGGCAAACCTGCTTTGAACTCTACAAGTCAACACATTGTGATTCTTAAACCGCCAAATCGGCAGGATCTACTGCTTAGTTTGCTCACCCTGCCTGGCGTTGGCGCACTGGCTTCCCTGTGCAGCGATTCTTGTACAAAGGTACTATTAGCCACGAACAAATTGCCAGCATTTCTTCAGTGCTTTGCAGTATATAATTAACTATAATTGTATAATGGTCTGTAAATGTCTGCTTCCATTGAGCAAAAATTAGAGCAAACATGGAAATTCAGGGCCTTGAAAAGCACTCTGCCAGCCCTCCCGCACCTCTGGATGATCTCACACTTGCTGATGCTCTTGTCGTTCTCAGCCATGACACCCAAGAGACCCTCCTGCCGCAAAACCGCTCCTATAATATGTATTTATGTTTCCTAGTGGAGAATTCCCTGAGAACACTCATCAAAAAATCCAGGAGCACATCTTCTCTTAAAGTAGCCGCTAATTAGATAGTTCGGTGGGAAACCTCCAAATAGATTTGGCGGTGATGTATGCACGACTAAACAATAAAACTGTTTAAGCGGCGAGAAATGGGACTTGTTGGAGAGTCTCAGCCAAAGCTGGTTGACGCCTGAGTACCTGCAGCCATATCTGCTGAACCCACGGATGAGGTGTCGTGCGGCTTTGCCTAAGCGCAGGAGAAGCATCAGACTCGGCCCCCAAGTGAGCACAATGCAAATGTCATTACAAAACTGTCCCACAGTGATCTCTGGATGCCATCTGTGTTGGAGTTGATTTGACCAATCGATTGCCCAAGTTCAACGACATTGGAAATGACTCTCTGGGACTGTGACGTCAATGGCTGAGGCACCTAGGCCAGCGCAGGATTTGAGTCAGATGGCACCAGAACAACACCCATGAGACACTCAATGCCAAGAAACTTTCAAGTACTTTCCAAATTCTGTGCTGTTCGGATTTGTTCGGTTGCAGTCCAAAGGGTCATTCCTATGTTGCCCTTGCCATCACTAGACGTGTTATATAGTATAGTAAAAACATATATATATATAATGGGTCCTGAAGTCATCCTTAGAGTCTTGGAGGTTCAATGTCTCGCTTTCGGGTTCAGGATTTGCAGGCTATGACCTTCCCTGTTAAATGTGTCTGAGCCTTCAGTTGCTTCTGATGCTTTGACAACACAAGAGTGTCACTACTCACCGCTCACCCTGGATGCTGGTATTGGTGTACTTTCACGTATTGGTTGCACAACCACCCCGAGGTTCTTTCAGGTATTGGTATTGTTGCGCAGCCACCCTGAGGTTCCTAACTTGTTGAACTTTGTTGCTCATCCATGCAAAGCCACTCAAGCGCAGGCTACATGATAATCCCCTTGTTGCCCCTTCCAATCCATGCATTTAAAATTTTATGATCCCGAGCAACTTGATTTAAATTGCTCGGGATATATATTGTATATACCGTATATATAATGTACAGTATATAGTATATACGTATGAGTTCCGCATTCATCAAATTCTCCTTGTACTGTTGTCATATCAAGTGCCAGCAAAAGCATCCTCATACATCCTTCGATGTCCCCACCTGTGCCGTTCACGCATGGACCTGGAATGACGTCTGCCTCAGTCTGAAGCACCCTCTCAAAGAAATATCACATCACATTGTTTCTGGGAACCTCATATTCATATCTTGAACTATATTATTTGAGCACACTGAATTTGCCAAGCTTAACTCCTAGTGCCCCTGTAATTATCAGTATCATCGAGCGTCCTGTTGCATACCTGCAGCACAAGAATCAACTGCATTGGCATCCACACACACACACATGACACATGGCATGCTTTGACTTCAAGAGGCCCGTACCATTTTGCAAATCTCCATGAGATCCATATTGGAGTCCTGACAGTTGTTGGCCCCTACAAAACGAGTTCTCTTCGTGTCCAATCTGCTCCTAGCTGCTTCAGCATGGGAGATCATTTTACAATATTGTACACATATTGTGCTTGAAAGATCCAACATGGAGAGGGGTAAGAGTCAGAGGGAAGAGCGTGGACAAGCTTCCACTGCTTTCAGAGGTCTGCTTGGACCTGCTTGGGATTCTTTGGAATGTCACACATTGTGCTCTAGTAGCTTCTAGCTACTAGTAATAATGCCCCTGTTACTAGTAGCGATGCCCTTGTCTCTTACGTCCGAAATGGCCGTCCTCATTGGTTGCCTCTGCCACCGCTCTTAGAAGGTGAGCGGTCGATGGATCACTCTCCTCCGCCTTGCACGAACAACCGATTGCGGCGGAATTTTGGTGTCTTAGCGTCTTAGCTTTAGCGTCTTCAACTTTAACTTACATATCTTGTGCGGCTCAGGTATGATGTATTATGTGCTCTCACCCTCTTGAACAGGGGAGCATCAAGGCCGGAACCGAAAAGGTGTTTTATAGATTCCCTCATGTATCTTTCTTTCAAAGATGAGCCGCCAAGATTTACTGTTCAACTCTTCTAAAAGGAACATGCAAAGATCTCAGTCCAAGAGTCAATGCGATCGTTGTTCTCCTGTGCTTGGGTATCATGGAATCATGGGTATCAAGTGAACATCGAATTGCACTTGCCATCAAGGTATCGACTTGGAGAAGCAACTCACAGAGCCATATTCAACAGGCAGGGGCACCAGGGACACTAGTCGGTGCTGCAAAGTGCACAGCTGCAATTAGACTGTCGGATTCTGGTAGGATTCCAATAGAAGGTCCATCACAAGGTTTTGCCCGATATGTTAGTCAAAACGACATCAGCGTTTTGAGGTTCCGCACGCAAGAAGCCAAGGCTTTGCGCATGGCACTCACCAAATCCAGCACCTTGTCAGGCCTAGGTGAACCATGCGATGCAGCAATGTAGAAAATGTGCATTGAAATGTCCTGAGGTGAACCTACGCCCTCTATTGTACTCTGATGCCAAGCAAGGCGGTCCATCCTCTGGTGTTGTGGGCAGGGCTGGCACAAAGCAATGTCCAACAGAAGTTGGTTCTGGGAACCTCCTCTGACATGTCGTGGAGAAACAAGTTGCAAACACTTGTGTTGACATTGCAAGTGTGTTAGTCCAAACCTTAGCTACTAAGCTGCGCTCTCAAAAAGACCATGATATTGGAGGACCCTCAACGATCTTGCCCCCCAACTCAGTTGCCGGCGCATTGATCTCCACCAGCCATGCCTTGGCATGGCCCGCGTGCCATGGATTGTGCCCAAGAAAGAGTACAAGAATCGTGCGTTAAAACACCTCTTTGAGACAAGATGACGGAGCAATCACAAGTATATAAGTTATATAAGCGACTTGTACAAAGTAAGGCAGCCCATCGTTGTAGGTCTAGAGGATGTTTATCAATGGTTGTCACCACAGCTCTGTGACTTGTCTCATTCAAGGGAACTCTGGTCGCATGATCGCATAGGGCCCTTTCACACGCCACAAGCACACAGGATGAGGGAGGAGAAACGAAAAGAGGAAGAATACACATGTTCATTTCAATGTTTTTTGAGTTGGTTGTTTTAAATCTTCTCAAGTCCACGTCCACGCGGTCTATCTGTGACAAGTGACATGCACGGGCCGAAAGTCTCCTCCAGCACTAAAAACGCTATAGATTGCCTGGAAGAGCCACAGTGAAGAAAGAGGGTCATCTCCTCACATCAGTTTTGCTGCTTACTGTTGTTTTTTCCCAATGTTTCTCAAACCAGTCGAAGACTAAACCTCATCAGGTGAACGACAAACAAATGCTGCGCGGTGCTGTTGGAACAAACATGGATAACATACACAAGCAATCAGAAACAACTTTGTGAGGCCGACATATCTCACCCTGGCAGAGCATATCTCATCAAGCCCCTACAAAAGTACTGGCAACATCCCAAATGTTGTCAGTGAGCTACTTGTAAGTGAACCCGTTATCCTGGGGACATGAAACCCTCGAGCGGCTTCAATGATGCTGGCAAACACGTGCCTGCCACCAGTCGCTCACTGTCTCATGGTACTGCCTTCCAACTCTATGCACTGACATGAAGGGGCTGGAAGTAGTCAAACATATTGCTGTTCGCTTGAATATGAGATACATATGGCCCTCAGCTAGTTACTCGTTGCTCTTCCTGTCTAGTCCATCATGTGAAGTATATAATATAGGTAGAACTGTTTCTCTATCTCTCTGTCTGGTCTGGTCTGGTCTGGTCTGGTCCGGTCCGTCTGTCTTCTTGGCGATGCAATTGGGTGGTTAGGGTGTAGGCGTTCTTTTTGGTGCAGGGTTTAATTTGACCAAGTAGCAACGAAGAACCAGTGTATGACGAGAACTATTTGAAGCTTTATTTGAGCTGACAAAGCCATCTTGTGACATATCAGCTATACTCTAACTATGCACAATAAATATACAGTTACATTATGTTACATTGCCATATCATGCTACCGAACCCACCAATGCTACCAAAAGACTTCCAAGCATCCAATAGCTCAGACCAACACGAGGCGGTATCACCTGCACAATAGCATGATTGGATGACCAGAAAGAAGATTCTCCATCAATCTGGTTTCAATATGCAAGCGCGTCTTATGCAAAAACACGTTTCCTTGTCATTGACCCCTTTTGCATCGCTCAAGCAACACCACATTGGCTGGATATACTTTTTCGAGAGCACTCAAGCAAGAGGAAGGTACAAAAAGAGTCAACACGAGCAAGACCTGCAAACATATATGATCTCTATACATATATAAAGACTTCATTCGCAGCATCGTGTCGTTTTGCCAAGCAAGGCCAGTTTAGTCCAAAAAGTAGTGCAAAGATGAGCTGACTCAAGTTCCCAGCAACACACTCTATTATGTCCCCCTGAAGAACTGCAGCCAAACCATGCAGTCAACAGTGCAACCACGAATTTACGTCTTCACACCCGGGGCCGTAGGTACATATATATATCCAACTGGGATGGCCGAGAGGTGGCGTAGGATGCCCAAGTCAATCCGGAGGAACCGATGGCGACAAATGCGAACTTGACACGGCTATGCGGTGTCTCTCAAAACGCTCGCCGTTTTCCTCGAACCTGAATGGACTGGCGGTTGGACCTAATTGGTGTTCAACCGACTCAAGTGCTTGTCACTTGCATCCCCCCTACCCTCGGTAGATGTTTTCCAAGTTGATTAAACAAAACACGAAACACACCCAAACAAGGAGCGACCGAACCAAGAAGAAGAAAAGAAGAAACCAGGAACCAACAACAACCAGCACAACACACTATTCTTTTGAAGGGTTGAACTGTGGTTCTTTGCTGTTCTGCTGCGGCTGTTCTTGTAGTGCATCAAGACCTTGTAGCCGTCGTTTCCGAGCACTTCTCATGTGATCATCGGTTACCAATCTCCATCGAAAACCTAAGTTGTAGAACATTTGAAGTTCCTTAGTTTTTCCCTTAGTCAAGCTGTTGCCCAACTGGGCTTCGCTATGAACCCAGCGCAGGTTCACCTTAGTTTCTCGTTGAGAATGCTTCAAGCACAACAGTTCTAAATCTATCTTTTTCTCGGCACCTCGGATGGTCAATTCGGTAGTTTGAAGTTTGTCGTAGACGTTTCGGCTGTCCGATATGAGGCATCCGGGAACACTGCGAACGATCGAGTCGACATCAAAAATGTTCACTTGCGCATTCATCATTTCCCCCCATTGAAATCTTGCGTGGTACATGTGATCTTCTCCAGCCACTGCAGCACGTCCTTCTGCTGCTCCAGGGCTACGGCACTGTTTGTCAATTTTATTGGAGTGCCAAGCAATGGGAATCACCTTATCAACCTGACCGTCAAGAAGGGAAAGGGGTCCTAAACACACGAAAAGTCCCTGGGTGCTGCTGCCGTCCTGTCTGTTTTGGCCTGCAGCATCGCACCATGTAAACATACCCACTGGAATGTGGGCTGGAATTGCATGTATGACCAGTCTATGGTCTTTGTGTGCTTTGGCAAAATGCACAAGCTGATTGGTCTTGACGATGGTTTCCACTGTACTTCGACATACTTCGGACAGAAGAAGTCCCACTTCGGCGGACACATGTGGTGCAGTTTGCTGGGCCATCCAGCTCAAGGCTCCCAGTGTAGCACGCAGTTGTGACTTTTCACGTTCTGTAGTTTCACTGGTGAGTTCCTTTTTCCTGGTTGCATTCAGAAAAATCTCTGGGATCTTTTCAACATAGGCTTTTTGGCTCAAGTGGAAGGATCCGTCAGACTGGCGCTCAACCAATACTCCACATTGAACAAACTTGTTTTCCTCCCAATCTGTCCATTTGAAGTGTTGTTGTATGGTTGCTTCCAGTTGCTGCCATGCTTTGTCCTGCTGTGGTCCAGCGAATAGAAAATCGTCCACATGGCCTGAGATCATTCCTTGAAGAACACCTTCAGGTTTCCAGAGCCAGGTACATGGGTCTGCCCATGACTTAACCAATCCCAGGGAGTCTAAAAATGCGCTCACTGTCCTGTACCATTCCAGTGGTGCATCAACTAATCCGTAACATCCTCGACGTACACGAGTGACACTGTTTTCCTCCAATCCCATGGCACCACATATTTCCGGTACCGGAATGCAGTAGAGCTCTTGGGGATAGGTTCTTCCTTGTAAAAATGCACCTGTCACATCTCCCTTTTTTACCTGCCATCCATAGCGACCTGCTGCTGCTAACAGGAACTGTCGGGATTGTCGGGTCATCACGGGTGATGTTGTCTCACGCTCTTCATAACTGGGGTCTTGGTATCCCAGGAGTATTGCCCGGGCTTTTGCTTTGTGTGTACCATCGTCTTTCAACTTCCACGTCAATAACCATCTCATCTTGATGGCCTTCTCCCGCGGTGGTCTCATGTCTGGGGGAAGGGCTTCAAAGGCACGGGCTGCTATATAGTTCTTCACTTCCACTCCTTTGGCTTCTTGGAACTTTTCCCAATCTTCTTTTGTCAACTTCTTTTCATTGACCTCAACTGCCCTTCGTTTGAGGGCGCCAACAAAATAGCAGCCTGGGTCTTGTATGAACTCTTGCCACTGCCGTTTGCTTTGTGGAAGTTGTATGTCCATCTCCACAGCGGTGTTGTCCTCGGCCCAAAAACACTCTCCGTGAGCTTCGAGACGACTTTCTGTGGCTGTCTTTTCATACCATGGTTCCTGAGTCACTAACGCATCTTCCAGTTGAGCTCCTCCCCGTTTCTGTCGTGTTGGTTCTGGAAGAGCTCGTTCTGGTCCTTCTCCGATACGTTTGCCCAAGACACGGTATCTAGGTTGTCCCGCCTCACGAGGGGCTGGTGGCATGGGCTCGTCTTGGTCCTCTTGCCACTGAGTCTCTGTGGGCACCTCCTGTGTGATGTCTTCAAACTCATTGCCACCTAGTCCTGCTGTCAGTCGCTGGAATGTCCAGGGTGCTTTGAGGTCTTCTTCCTGTGTAAGATGTTCTAAAAGCTCTTCTCTCTGTGTCGCATGTCTCAACTGTTCTGGACAACACTTGATAAGACGTCGTCCTCGAATCACCCAGATGTTGCTTCCCTTTCGAAGTGTACCATCAGTTTCTCGATGAGTTTCTGTGGCCAAAATTCGACCGGGTCCCAAGAAGCATCCTTGTTTCTGTCGTTGTTGACCTGAATGACTACCTGACACCTGTTTCCTCCAGTAATACACCAGATCTCCAGGGTAGTAGTTCAACTGTCGGTTGCCTCTTGAGTTGAGTGCTTTGTTGATCCTCTGCTGTGCTGTCCATTGTGCATGTATTTGCTCTGCTTTGCGCGTGCGGTCAATGCTCTCCACATGGTCTGGTCCTGCTGGTGGTAGGAGATGTTCGATGGATTGTCCAGTCAATGTCTGTATGCATCGTCCTACCTCATCGGGGGCCCTACCTAGAGCATGTTGTATAGGGGAAAAACCACGAACCAAGTCTCTTGTGTTGAACGTTCGAATTGCTTCAGCGAGGGCAGCCTCAGCTGAAAGCTCCGGTTCTTCGAGCGTCAACTTGGTCATGAGTTCTTTCACTCCCTGAATTGCTTGTTCACATGTTCCCAGCTTCCAGTGTGCTTCTCCTGGGATGAAATCCAAGTACACTCCATGGCGGTCACAAAACTGTTCAACTTCGTTGCTACGGAACGCTCCGGCAGGATCAAGCCTGAGTGTCTGTGGCATGCCGAAATATTGGCACCATCCTTCTTGAAGGTAGGCCAGAAAATGGCTAGCCTTCATGGTTTTGTGTTTTCCACGACACATGATGCGACCGACTCGAAACTGAGATCCCTCATCAATGATCAAAGCAAATTCAACATGTTCACCAGTTTGAGGGTGGATCCAGTGTCCCCCATCCGCACTCACGGTTGCCCACTTGGGCGGCAAGGGCTCGAGCGAAGCGACATGCGTATGCGTCACCTTACGCCTTTCATCACAAATATGACACCTAAAATCACGGGCCAAATTCAACACATATTCGGGCGCACCCCGTTTCTTCAGAGCCTCAACCATGTGTCGAATACTACCATGGCCAGTAGCGGCATGAAGCTGATACAACTGTCGTTTGACATGTTCGTCGGGTTTCCCTTTTCCCATGTTCCCTTTTGTTTGCGTTTGGACCCAAGCCTGTTCACAGTTCGGCTCGGTTTCCGTCTCGTTCAGGGTGAGTTTCAGAAAGGAGACCTCCATGCATGACCCGCACTGTTGTTTATACCCATGTTTTTCCAACATGCCACAAACACAAACAGAACCAGAACCAAAACCAACAGGTAAATAGGTATTTCCTTCCATCTCCTGGATCAGCATCGCATGGGTCAGTTCATGAGTCACCGCCAAACACACGCGCTTCGCGAACTCGACGGTGTAAAACGCACTTTGTTGAGTGAGTTGTCCTTCACAGGGGGCGTGAGTTCCCTTCTGGCACCTACAAGGCAAATCCAAAAGTTTGGAAAGTCTTTGGTGGGTCGTCATCACCTTCCAGCCCTTATGGATCAGTTTCGTGGTTTTGGGGTCCCGTAAATTCACCTGACACCCATTGGTGGTGGAGAACCAGGGTTGATACCGACGGGTCAACTCTTGGATCAGTGGCAGCCGCCACGCGTGACATTTATGCGCCCACTCCCATGAAACATGGATTCCTCGCTGAACGGCATAATGCCAAATGCAAGCGGCTCCGATGTATTGTCTCAAGGCGTCCTTTCTCTTTTTCTCAAGTTCAGCTCGTTGAGCTTCCGTGCGTTGGTTCAGGTTTTGCATTGGGGAGAAAGGACCGCATTCCGTTGCAATCCAGATGTGGAGCGGTTGCAATTGGTCAATTTGTTGTATCACAAGTTTCACTCCATCACTCTGGGTTAAGTCACACCCGTTCCATATCGAACAGCGAACGGCGGCTTCCGAATAGCCCAACTGTCGTTGGACTTCTGAGCTCAAAACACTATTGGGACTGCAGGCCACTTCCATCAAAACAGTTCGTTTTTGTTGAAAAAGATCTTGAAACAACTTCGGAGCAAAACCATGTGAATCTCGCTCTAACTGTTTAGCAGTGTCCTCTGGCAACACATGTCGTACTGTGCTAGGCTCAGTGACGGAAGCTATGCTAGGTTCCGGGCTGAGGTCTAAGCCGGGTGCGCTCAGATCTTGTGGAAACTCTCGGAGTCCGAGCTGGTCTTCTGACCCTTGCGCTTCCCTTCCTTGGCATCTTGGATCTCGTCCTTCAGCTCCTTCACCGTCTCGGTCAAGGTCTGGAGAACATCGACAATCGCTGAGGAGGGCACACTGCTGCTGGCAGCGCTGCTGCTGGCGGCACATGATGGTTCTTTCTTGAGAGAGATGACCTTCAGGTCGGGCTCGCTCGGGTAACCCTTTGAGGTCTTGGGGTTCTCGTCCGGTTCCATCTTGACATTCTCGTTCAACAGCCACTGGGCAAGGCGTGCCAGCTGAGGGCAGCAGGATTTTGGGTTCTCCTGCCATGTGAGCTTCACCCAGTTGCAGTACTGCTGATCCTCCTTGATTTCGGCATAGGTGAGGGATGCTCCCTTCCCAAATCCCACCGGGTCGGTAGGGTCCGGGGCACTCTTCTCGTAGATGCGGATCATGGCGGACTTCTGGAGTTGGGCCTTGGTCTCGTTGCCCGTGAAGGGCACTCCCAAGTCCTGGCAGTGTTGTTGGAGGTTGGCCTTTCGACCACTGGCCTTGTTCAGCTGAACCACCATTTCCTGAAGTGAGGTGCGCTTGGTCTTGCCCAGCACGATGCCATGTTCCTCGTGCAGGTGCATCAGTCGGCTGCGCATCTCTGTCACAGTCCAGCGTCCTGGAGGAGATTCCCCCAGCTCTTCGAGGGCTGCGATCAGGTCGGCACGTTTCATCTGGCTGACCATGGTGAGGCTGAGGCTCGGACGTCGGCGACGATACGTTCACACCAAATAGGCTTGGGCTCTCGCTGCTGCTCGGTCTTGTGTGTGTCCCTTCAAAAGAATTGTTGTTTAACGAAGACGTTTCAACCAAACTACCACGGCCCCCCAATATCAAATCACAATCTCTCTCAAACCTACAACCACAAACACTCTTCTCATCAACCTTGGAAAACTGTGAATCCTGTCCACGGGTTGCCTGATGGCTCATGTCCTCCCTTTCCCCCTCAGGCGAAGGATCAGAGAGGAGTTGTCCCTAGATGTACTCCCGCAGACTTGGTACCTGCTTTTTGCAGGTATGGGCATGTTTAAACAAATCCTCAGTCAACGGCAGGAGCTGATGTCCCGCGGCTGACCTCTCTAAGGGGATCACTTTGGTGGCATCCAAGCCTCTCAGTACAAGAAGGTCTTCATCAAAGTCGATCACGGCCTTCAAGGCTCGCAGGGTCTGAATGGACAGCAGGATTGGCCCTTGGCCTCGATCCAAAGCATGGATCTGGAGTGTGCCAGGCCGGTCATTGGCTGTCACCTTCAACTGAGTGGTGGAGATGCACTTGTCTTGTGAACCATTTCCGAATCCGAACTGTGGTTGGTTCTGAGGATCGACGGCTTGGATGCGGCTTTCGCCGTGCTTTCCCAAGTTCTGATCCATGACTGCCTGAATGGCAGCTACACTGCCCAACGTCTTTGTAGCTCCACCGTCAATCACTGCACAGCCAGCGAGAACGGCTTCCTGGGTAGTGCGTGCAGTGTCGAGGCCGTTGACGGTCAGGGCCTCCTCGGTGAAGCAAACGAAGGGTGCCTCTTCGGTAATGGTCACATGTCCTTGGTTCTTCTGATCCTGAGGCTTCTCAGGACACTCTGAGGTTCTATGTCCTTTGCCACAACGCAGGCAAGTGACACCTTGGGCTCCATCTCCTCGTGGGGCATAGCTGTGGCGATCGTGACGAGGTGGATCTCCCCCTCCACGTCGAAAGGTGGTCTTGTAGTACTGGCGGGAGAGCTTCACCTGATGCTGGCGTGCTCGGGCTTCTTTGAGTGTGCGACGTCCTTGCTCAATCAAAGCGAACGCCTCCTGAGCCCGTTCTTCCGCGGCATTGAACAAGGCCTGACCTTCCCCAGTCAGGTCGTCAAGCCACCATGCATCTTCGAGTAGGTCTGCTTCAGGAGGTAGGCTGGTAGCCTCCGGCTCATCAGCCCAAAACCCAGCATGCTTGGCCTGTTGGTCTCGCTTCTTAAGTTCCTCATCAGGCCACTGCAACCGCAGTTCTTTTGCCACTCGCTGCACCGAAAAATCCTCTTGGATTGCTGTTTGGATCATGTTCTTTTCGGTACTGTCAAGACCGGCGTCAGCCAGTAAGTACCAGCCTTGAAGAAACTCCGGCAGGAGCTCATCAGTGTTCAGCTTCCATGGCTCATCATCCACGGGGTTGTACCCATAGCCATAGCTGGTTTGTGACTGGTGCCACGAAGGTGCATCCGGTGCCTCACTCGGAGGATCATACCATTGCTCCTCCTCATCGTGTTCTTCCTGGTCTGGCTGACGTTGCCAGTTGGTGCCCTGCCAATCATCCCATGAAGATTGGCTCCAACGGCGCTGCTGCCACTCATGTTCACGGTGATCTCTGTGATGTTTCCCAAAGAACTGCTGTACCCGGGCGAGCGACTGTCGGGCTCGATGATAGACTTCCACCTTGCGGGTGATGTAGGTGTTCATGTTCTCAAATCGTCGTCTTCGACTATGGCGGAAGTACTTGTTCAGGTACTCTGTCATTTCGGGGATCGTTGGCCTTCCCAAGCATTCTCGGAGGTGTTGTAGTAAGTGGAGGACACCCCCATTGAATGACAACCATTGCGGCCTCTTCCCCATCACATACCTTCTGGCGGGCCCACTCAGTTCTGCCACTAGTTTGGGTCCAGCTAAGTATCTTTTGTGGTATGGGATACCCTGTTCCCACTGGAGAGCTTGTTCTTCATAGTCTTGGAAACTCACGGAGTCCCCATCCCACTGCGGCACACCATCTTTCGACCGGTGGATCTCGGTCGAGGTCATCCCTGTTGTTCTCTGAACTGGTCCTGGCGAGTTCAGCTACAAAAAAACGAAGGTCCCTGGAAGCAAAGCTCAAAGGCTCCGCGCTACCATCCAACTGGGATGGCCGAGAGGTGGCGTAGGATGCCCAAGTCAATCCGGAGGAACCGATGGCGACAAATGCGAACTTGACACGGCTATGCGGTGTCTCTCAAAACGCTCGCCGTTTTCCTCGAACCTGAATGGACTGGCGGTTGGACCTAATTGGTGTTCAACCGACTCAAGTGCTTGTCACTTGCATATATATATATATATACGTCAAATGCTGAAGACGTGTAAGAGCATCACAAAAATTGCATTTGTCTGGCTTCACTTGAATCGGAATGAAAAGGAGACAATGCAAACATTTAAACAGTGTGCAAAGACACCAAACATGTCTCACACATGAAGGCCAAAACTCCAGCCAAACAGATTTGATTTAGCCAGCAGAAAGGAGATATGATACTCATCACACTGTTAGAGGAAGCAACGCAGCAAGCCATTCACGGCAGATTCACATGGCTAAGACTACAAGCAAGAACTTGGTTGTTTCAGCCAAGAAAACCCAAGGGCTCGGAAGACTTGGACCGGAAGAAAATAACAGACTTAGTAGCGTCCTTGCTCCTAGTAGCGATGCCAGGAGCCCCTAGTAGCTTCTTGTTCCTAGTAGTACGGCCAGGAGCCCCTAGTAGCGTCCTTGCTCCTAATTGTTGTCGTTTTGCATTTTAGAGTTGCAACGTTATGCTCTCTATGGCTACAGTTTGGGCGCGAGAGCGAGCGAACCTCCCGTCAAGGCTGTGCAACATCAGCTTTCCCAGCACAAGTGCAGTACTACTGGCATTTTGTTCCGTTGCAAGCCATGGCTGCACAAATAACAAATATAGGCCGCTTTGAGGCCTCACATCCACCATACGAAAATAGAAGCCAAAAGCGAAGAATAGAACATTTGAAGGGCGGGCTTTCCAGGAGAAACAAACCGAAGACGACCTTGAGCAACGGAAACGACGATCCATTTGCAAAATAAAGACCATCCTGGAAGTCAAACCACATACTCATTGTGTTTATTCCCACAGCCATCATGAACTCCACAGGCTCCGCTGCATGAAACAAAAACATGTCCAAACGTAACTGTGTAAACATATATATATATAACTATATAAATATACATAAAAAAATACATAATATGCCAGCGTCAACATTATTTATAGATGCCATATAAGATATTAGAAACAAAAAACAATACATGACTGTATATTAATGTATAGACGTAATTATCTATATTGTAGACTGTCTACCTCTTATCCCAACACATACTGCTGAAAGCTGTTTGCAAATGCAGTCAGAGGTCATAGATGCTTGTTTGGACACACTGCCAAGATGCCTGCAGGAGCACCAGCGCTTCGCAGGGCCAAGGCGCCAGTGCCTCAACAAGGCGGGAAAGGTATTCAAAAGGAAGCTGCGGCGCACAAAGCACGTGGATTAACCAGAGGTATCTAGCTAGGGCTTGAGAAGTGATATACTTTACGTGATTCTGTGCATGTCTTTTTGCGATTCTTACACGCCTTCTGCACTCCAATAGTATGGTGGACGGGATCTGATGAGGGTCAATCCCTACTCAAGGCTGCAAACAGGCAATGGCCCCTTCTCCTCAAATATTCTTTGGAATGGGGCGTACAACACAAGACCTTGTTGCAAAGGACAGGGCAGCAAGGCCTGTTGTGTAGTTTCGACTGCAAAAGAGAGCTATGCTGCTACGGTGGGCACTTCCAGTCTTAGCGAAATCGATGTTTGAACCGCCAGCCTTTCATGCTCCCTTCGACCGCCCACCCGCAAACCTAGAAGCGATGCACTTGTTCCTAGTAGCTTCTTGTTACTACTAGTAACAAGTGCCTCGCTAGTAGTAACAAGTGCCTTACTAGTAGTAACAAAAAGCTATTAATTCGATTTAATTTTAATCTAATTAATAGTTTCTTGTTACTACTAGTAAGGCCAGGAGCCCCTAGTAGCTTCTTGCTCCTAGTAGTAAGGCACTTGTTCCTACTAGCTTCTTGTTACTACTAGTAAGGCACTTGTTACTAGAAGCGATGCACTTGTTCCTAGTAGCTTCAGGAAACTTGACTCAAACAGGGTCTTCTCGGTTCGTACATGACTCACTTCACATCGCACATCACCATGCCACTACCAGTACCACATGCTAGCAAACCGCTGTAACGCTTAATTTCGGGGTGCTTGCTGCATCCATCCGTAACGTTGTTGCTAGTTACAAGTATCATTGGCCATTGGGTATCCAACAGCTTTGAGCCACAATGGTTTGCTCTGTGTACTGCAGAACTAGTATATCAGCAGTATATCTGACATGTTGCCAATACTTAGGAACTACTAGTCAGGTTTAGCTGTTGAACAGGCTTTGACAGTTCACCTGCCAAGGGGCAAAGAATCTCAATGGCTGTAATGCCAAGTGCATGAATATCCAGCCTGCATCCAACATGAAGACTCTTGCAGAAAGAGTAACTTGCAGCATCAGCAACAAAGCTAACCCAGAGTTATATAGTAGCGCAATGTAGTGCAAGTTTGACGGGAATGTCATGTCGCACTGGCCTGAGGCCTGTCCTATCACACCTGCTCACAGTCGTACGAACACTCAAACTCCGTCTGAGGAGTGCATTCTTGACGGGCTTCCACAAAGACAGGCAGCTGGTGCCTTGACTGGTACTGCTTGCACAAATGTGGCCTTTGCTGGCCAAAATCTGTCGTCATCGGTCAACCCCCGAGCTGGAAATGAAATCAGCTTGAAAGGTCGTGATTCTTTTTGACATCTGATGTGCACCATTAAGCAAAATCCACATGTACAGCAGGCGTGCAATTTATAGTAATAGTAACATCCGTAGTGCAGAAGAACCATGCACTCACAATAATCCATAATGACTCGTGCAGCGGTATGTGCGAAGCAAATGTCTCCGTGTGCTTATTTGATCATCCCTTGCTGTTGCAGCATCTGTGGGAGAGATGCTGTGGTTAGAGCCGGATTCGGAAACTAATCGGTCGGATTCTGAAACTAGGGTTCTGAAACTGGGGTTCTGAAACTAGGGTTCTGAAACTTGGCTTCTGAAACTAGTATTCTGAAACTGGGGTTCTGAAACTAGGATTCTGAAACTGGGGTTCT